GACTTTTTTTTACTAAAAGAGTTTCAAAAAAAAGTCTTCCTTTTTCAAGACTTTGGGATTTCCACATTGTAGATGGGGGATCATGGAGATACAGCTACCCCATAAAGCTGTTATAAGGATGAAATAAGTGAGGGAATATATATCGAGGTGCTTAGAAGAGTATCTGGCACATAGTAGGTGTCCACTTGGCTATTTTTTTTATTGCAGAGGAGAAAAAAGATCTCAAAGATCATTATTTGTGATTATTTATTTATATGTTGAGGTTACTGCTGAGGAAGCTTACTACATCAGGGACTAGAAAGCTCTCCATGATAGCCTCTCCAGAAGAATTCTAGGTGTATTCAACAACCACTGCCAGGAGAAAGAAGTCAAGAAAATCTCCAGGGATCTGATGCAAAGACAGACACATTATTTTATTCCAGCTGCCACCTGCCAGTCCATCAAAATGGGCTCTCAAAGAACTTGGCTTGAATGTGATGAGTGCAAATCCCATAATGGCCAGCAGAAAGTTCAGGAAGCAACCACAGTTGGATGTACCTATTGAAGCCTGAGCCTAGGGCTTTGCTCATGATAGGAGCAAATCAGGTAAAAGAACTTTCTTCATTCTTCACCCCACTTCTGGTTTCCTCTCTAATGCTTTTCCTTCAGTCTATTAAAATCACTTCAATCTTAGGGGAGCCTGAGTGGCTCGGTTGGTTAAGCGTCTGACTTCGGCTCAGGTCATGATGTCATGGTTTGTGAGCTCGAGCCCCGCATTGGGCTCTGGGCTGACAGCTCAGAGCCTGGAGCCTGCTTCAGATTCTTTGTCTCCCTCTGTCTGCCCCTCCACTGCCTGCACTCTGTCTCTCGCATTGTCTCAAAAATAAATAAACATTTAAAAAATTCTTAAAAATCACTTCAATCTTAGTCAAATGAAGTCTTGAGAGCATTCTCAATTTGAGGACAAGTTGGTCATTGATACCATGCTATAGAGAATTTTGGGGCGATGTGCATCAGTGATTTCAGACTAGACCTGCATCTTGGACCATGATATTCTGCCTTAATCAGAAAATGCCATTTGTTGCCCTTTCATTATTGGAAATTGATCAGATTGACCTGGAGAACCCACCTCTTCCCAGGCCAAGGTACAGATTCCTCAGACAAATAAAAATCATTTCTGTTTGTATTTTGTCATAGAACTCACAGACCCATTTAGAAACCAAGTACTTTGCATATTAAGCCCCCCAGAATAATGATAATGAATATTAATATGATACTACATGAGGCAATAATAAGGAAATGGGGGGTAAGAGTGTTAGGGTTTTTTTCAGATAGTCCTGCTACAGTTTATCTGTTGAAACAAACAGTTATTGGAAAGACCTGATGAGCTGCCTCATTTATCTGGGGCGAGTAAAACAAAGTTTAGTATACATATGTAATAGTCAGTTGAAAATATTTCAGAAAACTCAATCCCATTTTCTACGTGAAACCCAAGCAATTTTTCAAGAAGCAAAATCTCTTTTATTAAACGATAGTACTAAACAAATTTGCTGATCGTCATCTCCTTCCGCTAGAAAGCAAGCTCGCTGATAATAGGGACTTTGCTGCGTTCCCAGTGCTTGAGACCATATCTGGTGTGCTAGAGTGCTTAATAAATACTTGCTGAATAAATAAGTGAATGAATCTGAAGCAAGTAGACAAATAGTTGGATTTTTCCTTGTTTTCTGTAGAAAGCAGGCTGTTTCTATACTTTTCTATCAGGTACATACACATAATGTAATGGTAATAAAAATCCAAGGGGTTTCTTGGATCTCACATTTTCCCTGGGATGAGTCTTCCAAAAGTCTGGGAGATACTACGGAAAAACTCAGTAGTTGGCACATGTGGCCCACATAACAGTGGCATGAAAATAGTTAAATAGTGAAACCTCAGCAGGCAGCTCAGGGGGCTGCTAAATGATGTAACACAGGAAGTGGCATGACTTCCTGACTTCTACACACTGGGGAGTCATTTTTAGTTTTCACTCAATCTGGAAGCCAAAAGCATGAAGAGATCAAAACTTACTCATCCAGCTGTAGTGTGGCAGAAATACAGACACAGACCAAAGTGGCAGTGCAATACAACAGGAGATTGTTGCTAATAGAATAAATATCTGAGGGTCATTGAAGGAAGAGTGGCCATAGTTGAAGACAAGGGTTGATGAAGACACATTTGCCATTGGAGACAGTGCCACATCATCAGCCCTCAGTGATAAAGGAGAGTTAGGGCTATCTGCCACCTGCTGGCACATGAGATGTAGATAAAATTGGCCTGAAGCCCCTTCCATGTACGCAGAAGTGCAGTGCCCACACCAAGATTGAATCACTTTCCCAAGGTAATTGTATTCCCATGTCCTCAGAGTCTCACCTTTTATTCTGAAAATCTCTGCTTAAACATCAAGAGTTTTCTTCTTAAGAACACTTCCAGGGCCACCTGGGTGGTTCAGTCAGGAAAGCATCCATCTGTTGATTTTTGTCTCAGGTCATGATCTCATGGTTTGCATCAGGTTCTGCGCTGAAAGAGTGGAGCCTGCTTGGGACTCTCTCTCTTCCTCTCTCTGTTTCAAAAATAAACATTAAAAAAAGAACACTTTCAGTGATGGCCATCCTGATAATAACATCTTACCCTGCAAGAAAATAAAGGCACCATCCATATGCAAACCCCTATGAAAAGAAAGCAGCTTGAAACGCAGAGGAAGGGGATTACAAAAAAAAAAAAAAAAAAAAAAAGCAAAATAAAAAGTACAGCTTCTTTGGCTAAGATTGGTAAGGTGTTGGAAGTCAATATGAGAGCCTGACGGTATATTTAGTTACCATTTACATCTATAAAAGCATATTTTACATAGCTATCATAAATGGATTCTAATTCTATTTTATAGTTCAGAAATAGGACATTGTTAATGAATTCTTTTGTTGTCTTTATAAAGCTTCTAGTTAAAGAACTCCTCAATACATTTCGGATTGCTTGAACTTGATGAGCCATAGCTGATGATTTCAAGCAAATCCTCATTTTCAGTAAGCAGAACTCTGTAGAACAAGTGGCTCACTCTGTATTCCTATGTGGGTCTACTATGTGTTATACAAAATGTCTATCATTTAGCACAAGAATGTTTGGGAAAAACTAAAATGATTTAAAAACAAAACAAAACTGAATGCCACAGACCAAATCTTATAGAGTAGCAGAGGTTCTCGGACTGTGGCCCCAGACCAGCAGCAATGGAATCACCTGGGAACTTGTTAGAAATGCAGGCTCTCAGGGCCCACCCCAGGTTTCCTGAATCTACAACCTAGAAACTCTGGGTTTAGGGCCTGGCAATCTATGTATTAACAAACCCTACACCTGAAGCTGATGCCCACTCAAGTCCAACCCCCACTGCCATTTCCAAATGTCAGAACAATTCCTGAATTATGCTTCTTTTCATCACTAGGTCCTTTGCTTCACAATCTATGGCTGGATCCTCAGATGGCATGTTGGCAGCCACTTATAGCTCTCTGTCAGGATACCTGCTCCCTGCTCTGCCATCCCGGAACCTTCCACTGGTGTGTTGGCTACACAGTGCTATGCATGAGTGGAAGGGCTTAGCCTCAATTGCTCTCCTCATTCACTGGTCAGAATTCTCTCAACACCTTCTAGAGCACTCAAAGTTCCCTAGGGACAGCCTCCATGTTCCCATCCTAGAACTACCAGCAGGCTTATTAGAACACAGTGCCCACCCCCATTGCAGAGTTTCTGATTCACCTGGTCTTGCATATAGCCCAAAGAATTTTCATTTCTAACAAGTTCCCAGTTGAAGTTGATGCTGTTGTCTGGGGACCACATTTTGGTAATCACTGTTGAAAGCCAACATCTCTAAACTTATTTACAGATGAGTACCTAAAAAACAAAACAAAACAAAACAATCAACCCAGACCTCCCCCTTCCCCAAATGGCTACTTTGTGATGTCTCCCATGAAATCCTAAATACCCATCAATTAAGTCAATGTATTTGTTTTCCTGGTAATTAAGTTCCACTTACTTCAAAAGAAGTTTTGAGGTAACTAAAGTTACCTATCAGCAGAAACAGTCAATTTGTCTAGTGAGCTCAGAGAAATGCTTTTCCTCCCAGGGGAAATAGTGTACTCTGTTTACTTCTCCAATCTGCTTGCCTTGGCCCTGACTCTGGTTCTCTTAAACTAAGTTGAGGTGGGAGGCGGGGAACCAGGGTTGATAAATTTTGCCATTGTGATGCAGAACAACAGAGGTAGTGGAAGAGGGGGACAGACTCTTGGCTTTGAAGAGAAAGTGGGATGTGACATTAATCATCCCTCCAATGACCAAAGAAATTAACCTTCCTCCACACCATCTTAAAAAGGAGGCCCTCACTTCCCCCTCCTTCGCCACCCCTTTCACGAAGCCAAACCTAGAAATAGAACACAGCTCAGCTCTCAGGGCCATTCCCTCCACCACACCTCCAGAGGCCACATCTGCTGCTCCCGGAACAAACTCTGTTCTCACAGCTGCACAATTCACTGCTGAAACCCTAACCCTGAGAGTGGGCTGGAGCCAAACGGGAGAAAATGCCAACAGGGCAAAAACCTCATTCCAGATTCCAAATGTTATTCTGTAGCCCTCCAAATGCCAAATGATGCCTGCTGGCACCCCGCCAGGTCCCTGGTCCACAGCCCACATAGGAGCCTATGGAGACATGGGGGTACTGTGGTGTTGCTTTCCTGAGTTCACCACTCCACCTGGGGGTGCAGGACTCTAAGGGGGCTGTTTGGAGGGGGACCATGGCATAAGGTCATGCATCACTTGCTGGCTCCTCCCCATGAAAGTGGAACATCAACATCCAGCCTACCTTAGACACAAGCTATCCTCACCGTGCTCATTCAAGTGTCAAAGGTCCTGGGGGAACAGTATTCAAATGCATCTCACAGCGGTTCCTTGGGAGAATAAAATATGAGAAGTGAAACTGAACATTCACCCCTGTAGTGAGAGGACAGAGAGGACCCGGAAGGCCCTTTGCATTGGGACTGCTAGTTTTCTGTGGGTCACATGCAAGGTCTCTCATGGAGGGTGTCACGGTGGTCCTCCTCCTTATCTGGACTCTGATATCTCCCAGCAGCAACGGCAAAGCCTGGCCCCCACACACGGTCTGCCGGGATGGAAACTTGGAAGTGTTCTACCAGAGTTGTGGTAAGGTCTTTCAAAACGTCATTGTTTGTGTTTATGGGAAAATTAAGGCCCATGGAAGGGGCCACTGAAGTGCTTAGTTGGGGTGGGGAAAGGATGAGGGGCCCAGGGGCTAAACACTTTCTCCACTTGTAGTGGGTCTGCAAGGTGATTCGAGAGCCCTTGGGGGAAGGTGGGGTGGGAGGTGTGAGTAGGAAACAGCCCAAAGAGAGCCACGAAAAGGACATGAAAAAGGCCTTGGGTCTAAATGGAGCAGTTCATTAATACCGCAGAGCCAGAAAACAACAAAAATGACTAAGGAGTCTACCAAATCCTGACACCCCCATCAGCTCAAAATTAAGAAAAGATGTTTTCAGGGCACCTGGGTGGCTCAGTTGGTTAAGTGTGCCATTTGGTTCAGGTCATAATCTCACAGTTGGTGGGTTCAAGACCTACATTGGGCTTTGTGCTGTTAGCTCAGAGCCTGGAGCCTGCTTTGGATTCTGTGTGTATGTCTCTCTCTCTGCCCCTCCCCAACTTGTGCTCCCTTTCTCTCTCTCTCTCTCTCTCTCTCTCTCTCTCTCTCTCTCTCCTTCCCTCTCTCAAAAATAAATACACATTAAAGATTTTTTTAATATAAAAAAATAAAAAATGCTTCCAATAGTCACCACTGTATACCTGTATACCTGGGTATACAAACTGTATACCTGGGTTATCTTTCCAGTTTATTTAGTTTGCAAATTGAGTGAAAAGATCACATATGCCCAAAGAGTAGATTCCTGCCCTTTGTATGACATTCCAGAGCAGTGTTGCTCATGAATTCAACACTTACCTGATCTCTCAATGCCAGGGTTTTGTCCAGAGCCAGACATAACCAATGAGAATGAGCCATGGTTATTACCCCAATGGGACATATGTCTTTGCTAACAAAAAACACAATCTAATCAATAGAATGCAGGGAGCTGCTGCAGTCAGAGTCAGAACCAACACTTTGGAGCAGAGTACCACAGACTGGGTCTTAAACAACAGATATTTATTTTCTCACAGCTCTTTGGCTGGAAGTCCCAGGTCAAGGTGTCAACATGGTCAGTTTCTCCTGAGGCTTCTCTCCTTGGCTGGCAGATGGTCATCTTCTCCCAATGTCCTCACGTGGTCTTTCCTCTGTGCCTTCTTGTCTTATAAAGACACCAATCCTATTGGATTGGGGCCCACCCACAGGACTTCATTTAACCTTAATCACCTCTTTAAAGAACCCATCTTCAAATAAAATCACATTCTAAGGTACCAAGGGTTAGGATTTCAACATATGAATTGGCAGGTGGGGAGCAGGGAACAATTCAGTCCACAAAGGGGGCCTGAGTGGGAAAAATGAACTCAACCTCAGGATCACAACTTGAATGAACATTAGAGGGATAGGTTCATGAAAAAGTATGCCAGTATGAAATATGACACTTTGGAGGTAGACAGGAAGCAAAAGGCAGTTCTGATTGGAGGAGTTAGAAAAAAAAAATGTCCTTTAAGTATTTAAATTGGCCCCATGATAAGCTGGGGAGTAGTGGAGATGTTGCATTTGAGCAGATAGCTGATCCTACAATTGCCACCTCAGGAGTTTCCTTGGAGAGGCTGGGATGGTCAGGCTGGCCTCCAGAACCATTTGTCCAACTTGACTTCACTCTTTTAAAAAGAAGGAACATTGAACATTGAAACACACAAAAACATTTTTTTTTCTAATGTAAAAGACAATGAATGGCTCAATGCTATAGGACTTGATCTCATTACTCTTGCTTTTCCCATGGGAATGAGATGCTTTCTGCTGGCATGTATGCATTGTAGGTGCAGGATAAGAAGAGAGCCTTGAGATGAATGGGATGCTCGGAATTTGTTTTTCTAATTCATCCTCCCATAAAAGGTTGCCATGGCTGATCCCTCCCTCAGACCAGACTGCAGCCTGCAGCCAAGCCTGGCACAGCCTTTCAAGTCATTGCCAAGAAAAGCAAGAGAAGTGGATGCACCAGGAAAAGAAAAAAAAGCATATCACCCGCCTCTGGGGATAACTCCTCCCTCTGGGTAGCCACTCAATGGAGTCAACAAATGTCGGCACAAGTCTTGCTCTGGTCACTCAGGGAAAAAGAATGAAAGAGACACAGTTCTCATCAAAGGGTAGTGGGAAGATCAGACAACTAAACAATAGGGGAAATGCTCAATGGGAAGCGCCAGAATAGAGGCGTGCGTCTTGCACCGGGGGTCATGGTAGTTGGAGAGGGTGAGGTTGGGGATCTTAACCTACCAGGGAAAGGGTCATCAAGCTTGACCTCAGCCTCAAAGAATGATAAAAATGGCAATTATAACACCTTATGTCCTTGGAAGGTTTACATGTGCCAGGCACCATGCTAAATTCTTCCTACGCATTAATATTTTACAGATGTGTAAGCGAGAGTTAGAAATGCCAGGTGACTCTTCCAAGGACACACAGGTAATAGTGGCAGAATTACATCTTGGGGGCACAGAGAAGGCATGAAGTCAATATCTGTGGAATTAAAATGAGTTGATACCAGGTCTGGCTGACTCTGGTATGCTTTAATCTTCTGCTATGTGAAGGCAGGTGGGGTAGAGGTAAGGGATAGGAAGGATAACTCTGGCACGTGTGTGACAGCAGGGAGATGCCAGCAGGCAGAGTTCAGGGGACTGCAGAAGGACTGGAACACAAGGGAGGATGAGAAATAAGGTAGGGAATGTGGGCAGAGCCCAAGAGTGATGGTGAATTTCATGTGTCACCTTGCCTGGGCCATAGGACACCCAGGGAACTGATTAAACACTTTCAGGGTATGACTGTGAGAGTGTGTCCAGGGGAGATTAGCACCAGAATCAGTGGCCTGAGAAAAGCAGATCACCCTCCCCAGCGTGAGTGGGCACTGTCCAGTCTGTTGAAGGCCTGAACAGAAACAAAAGGTGGAGGAAGGAAGGACTCACTCTCTCAGCCTGACTGTAAGCTGGGACTTGGACCTCCTGCATGTAGCTCTTCTGGCTTTCTGCCTCTCTCTCAGGCCTTCAGACACCACCAGCCTTCCTGGGTCTCTTGTTTGCAAATGGCAGATCATGGGGCTTCTCAGCCTCCATAATCATGTGAGTCAACACCTTATGATAATTCTTTTTCTATTTTATAGATATAGATGATATAGATATAGATATAGATATAGATGATATAGATATAGATATAGATGATATAGATAGATATAGATATTTCTCCAGAGAAACAGGAGAACCCTAATACAAGAGACGTGGTGGAGCTGCATCCCTTCAGCAATGAGGAGATTGCATTTTGGAAAGATTTCCTCGGGGAATGGGTTGGAGCATGGATATTAGATTGAAAGCTGTTTGAGGCCACAGCCAGGATGTGTAGGCTATAGAATCAATAACCCAGGAAAGAAATGATAAAAGTCTAAACTAGTATCATATCAACAGCCTCAACTTCGGAAAGATTCTTGGTATACTTTAGGATCAGCAGAAAAGAAAGCAATGCCCTGGGGGCTTCTCCAAAGGTGAGCCCTGCCTCATCTCTTGAGAGCCATTGAGCTATATCAGGCACTGAATGGTCACATACCCCTCCCGGATGGAAACATTCCTCCCTTTAGCTGCTGGATTCATAACAGGGCAGCTCCCTCAGCCCCAAGACGTTCACATTGTTAACATAGAGCAAAGGCCACGTGTTGTGACCCTGTATGAAACCCTGGTATCCAGACATCCTCAGTGCATATCAGGGCTTCTAGAATCCCTACATTCACACAGATGTGGGGATGTCATCCCACAAAAATAAAGGATCTACTGTTTTCTGAGTTTAGTGCTTCATTATTTTCCTTCTTGTTTTGTTTTATAATTTTAGTGGGAGGGAGAGCTTTTAGGCTGGACACTGTTCTAAATAAGACAAAAATCCTTTGGGAGAAAGAAAGAAGCTCGCAAGCAGTTACTGGGCTCTGAATACTGATTAGGAAATGAGCACGATTTTCTGAAAAAGCAGAAGTCCTGCTCTGTCCAACTGTTCATGCTATAGTAAAGAAAAGAGTGGCAGTCTTTACAAAAGCAGAAGGAGGAAGAGAAGCAGCTGGGGACCTTTCTTTTGTTAAATCATAAGACAATCTCCACAGCTAGCAAAAGCCCAGGGACTTCACTCCATTCACATGCCACAAATGTCCACTGATGTATTTATTTATATGCTGCTTCTACCACACTATGGCATCAGGTGGATTACGAAAGTCCACAGGATTGGAGGATGGAGGTAGTGGGAGAATCAGGAGGAGGGCAGGAGGGGAATAATAAATCCAGGAGAGGTCAGGACACATACAACAGACGAGGCAATGTCCAAGATAAAATATGGGGGTCTGGGGTCAGGAAACCTCATTCCACCCCTTGGGCAATACTCTCTGCCTCCTGTCCTTGATTGCAAAGTGGTATATGAGTTTCCTATGGATGCACTAATGGTTACCACTTTCTGGCCCAAAATGACATACATATATTCTTTTAGTGTTCCAGAGGTTAGAAGTCCGAAGCCAACTTCACTTAGTCAAGGGCCACGCTCCTTTGGAAACTCCAGGGGAGATCTCTTTCTTTGTCTTTTCCAGCTTCTACAGCTGCATTCCTTGGATCATAGCCCCTTCCTCCATCTTCAAAGCCAACAGTGTCGCATCTTGCTGCAACATCTTGTTGTCACATTGCTTTCATCTATGCAAGATTTCCCTCTGCCTCCTTTTTAGGACACTGGGATTAGCATTATCTTCCTGTCTCAAGGAGATTTAATCACACCTGTAAATTCCCTTTTGCCACATTAGGCAGCATTTGCATGTTCTGGGGATTAGGACATGGGTATCTTTGGGAGCCATCATTCAGCCCATGACAATAGGGATAATAATTTTACCTACCTCTCAAAGGCTATGTGAGGATTAAGTAAAAAGCACCGCATACCAAGTGCTTAGTACATACTATGCGCTTCAATAAATCTTTGCTGCTGATGGCTTGTAAGATATTTTACA